TTTTTTTTTTGAGACGGAGTCTCGCTGTGTGCCCAGGCTGGAGTGCAGTGGCGCGATCTCGCTCACTGCAAGCTCCGCCTCCCGGGTTCACGCCATTCTCCCGCTCAGCTCCGAGTAGCTGGGACTACAGGGCGCCGCCCACCGCCCGGGCTAGTTTTTTGTATTTTTAGTAGGACGGGGTTTCACCATGTTAGCAGGATGGTCTCGATTCCTGACTCGTGATTCACGCCCGCCTGCTCCAAAGTGGCTGGGTTACAGGCTTGAGCCACCGCGCCGGCCAAACCCTGTTTGATCTTGGACTCCGCACCTGCTAGCTCTGTGACTTGGGCTGTTATTGATTTCAGAGCCTTGGTTCTTCACGGCAAAGCGTGATGCAGATAGTACAGAGGCTGTAGGGGGTCGATGATGGATGGAAAACCCAGCATACCCTGTATGGCTGAGGAAGTATATAGTTATCTAGGGTATCTTAGGTGGCAGGACAGCATGAAAAAAGTGTGGAGGTGAAAAAAAAAAAACAGGTTTTGACTAAAACAACAGCATTCTCACTTCATCATCCCCCCACACCCTGCCCCCATCTTATCAAATCCCACTCATCCAGTGTCACGGCTTTCTCAAGCACACCCAATCAAGTGTTCTCTCCCGATTTCCCCTTTATCAGGCATCCAGATGCCTCCCTTCCCCTCCTCCAGCCCACAGGCTTCTTAAAAGCAGGGCTGATGCCGGGCGCGGTGGCTCACGCCTGTAATCTCAGCACTTTGAGAGGCTGACACGGGTGGATCACGAGGTCAGGAGATCGAGACCATCCTGGCTAACATGGTGAAACCCCGTCTCTACTAAAAATACAAAAATTTGCCAGGCATGGTGGCGGGCGCCTATAGTCCCAGCTACTTGGGAGGCTGAGGCAGGAGAATGGCGTGACCCCGGGAGGCGGAGCTTGCAGTGAGCGAGATAGCGCCACTGCACTCCAGCCAGGACGACAGAAGGAGACTCTGTCTCTAAAAAAAATTAAAAATAAAAATAAAAAATAAAGCAGGCCTTGGTTAGTCCCACCCTTGATCCCTGCCCTTTGCCTGCACCAGGCTCCCTCAGCGTGCTCAGTCAATCCCTGCTGGGTCGACTGGCCCCTAAAAGGTCAGTATGAACATCCTCAGCCCTAGGCAACAGCAGCAGCAGTCATAGGAAAACTGTCATCCTCAGACCCCACTGTGCCCCTAGCTCTGTGTTCTGCTTAACTGTGGGAGTCAGAGAGAAGGGGCAGCCTGGGAAGCTTGATGTGCCTCTCTGAGTAAGATACTAAAGCAAGGCAACAGGTACAAAGAATAGTGATCATGACAGAGAAACATTTATTAAGCTTTCGCCGGGTGCACAGCGCTGTGCTAAGAGACACAGAAACAATCTGGGAAGAGAGCTCAGAGCAGCAAGGGAGAAAGGGGCCATATCACGAAAGGTTTTGTAAACCTTGTACAAGATTCTATGCTGAGGACAACAGGTGGGGCGCTGGGAGTGGGGAAGTGACAGGATCAGATCTGTTTGGAAGGAGCCCTCTGGCAGGTGTCAAAACTCTTCTCCTTCACCCTGTCAGGCCCCTGGGAGGTAAAGACTGGAAAGGGGGCCGGGCGCGGTGGCTCAAGCCTGCACTCCAGCCCGGGCAACAGAGTGAGACTCCGTCTCAAAAAAAGTCACTAGGTGGAGCGTGGTGGCTTATGCCTATAATTTTAGCGCTTTGGAAGGTCAAGGCAGAAGGATCACTTGGGGCCAGGAGTTAGAGACCGGCTGGGGCAACATCAATCAAAAATAAAAATCATTGACCTTTCTGCCAAATCCATGATTGAAATTGTCTTTCCAGCACCCAAACTTTATGCCTTTTGCCACGTGGAATATCCTAGCCCCTCTTGTCTGCCATCCATCAAATTCCTTTTTAAATGCCACCTCCACACTTTTTTTCATGCTGTTCCTGCCACCTAAGATACCCTAGGATAACTATATACTATTCCTCAGCCATACAGGGTATGCTTGGGTTTTACATCCATCATCAGACCCCCTACAGCTCTGTTACTATCTGCATTCACGCTTTGTCCATGAAGAAACCAAGGCTCTGAAGATTCAATAACAGGCCCAAGTCACAGAGCTAGCAGGTGCTGGAGTCAAGATTCAAAACAGGTTTTGGGCCGGGCGCGGTGGCTCAAGCCTGTAATCCCAGCACTTTGGGAGGCCGAGGCGGGTGGATCACGAGGTCAGGAGATCGAGACCATCCTGGAAAGGGATGGAAGCAGCAGCATCTCCCTGATTTCTGAACCAACCTATGGGGTGGGGGAGGCTGATGAATTTAGTGGAGGGAACCAAGAATGCCGAACTGGGCCCCTGGAGTGAGGGGCATCAGACTGTACAAGAGGTATTAGTGCAGAGGGAAAAGCTACAAATAGGCATAATTAGGAGTCAGGAGCCCTGGGTAAGGTGTGAACATTATCTTTAACTTACTATCTTAGTCTATTCCTACATCTGTGAAGCAGTGAAAACAATTCCATTCTCTGCCTGTCCTCAGAAATACCAAATGAACAAATGAGCATTAAAGGTATAATATGTGCCCTTTTGTCAACAGGCAGCTGACCTCTGAATTGTCTGCTGTGTTTCCTCTTTCACTATCGGGGTCATGTCTTCCTGCCCAGTCTCCCCACAGCAGGGTCTAGCACCAGGGTTGGGGGGTGGGGGGCCCATCCTCCTCCTCCGGCTGGAAATGAGTTTTCAACTTGTTGAGATGGGGACCTTCTCCCTCCCCCTCCCCCACAGGTCCTTGAAGAAGCGACAGCTTCACCTCAGGACCACCCACCCCTCCCAAGCCACTGAGAAGTTTGGGATCAGCCCAGGAGCTCTTCACTCAATAGCTGGTGCTGAAACACGTGTAGGGCTGCTCTCCACCGCCTGCACATTAAAATCACCTGAGGAGCTGTGCAATAATACCGAGGCCCAGGCCTCACCCAGCGCAGTTAAATCGGAATCTCTCAGGGCGGGCCCAGCATCGGTGTTTTTTTTAAGCTCCCCAAGTGCCACCAGGGTTAAATGCCTTTATGCTAATAGAACGGATCCCAGCCTGACCAGTGCATCCCTCGATCCCAGACCGCCAGGGAGCTATCTGACCCACTGCATCCCTTTCCTCCAGACCCCCGGAGAGCCCTTCTGCGAGGATTCCACCCTTGCCCCCTTGAAGCCCGCTTCTTCCTCCCGGACCACAGAACTCTTCCAATCCACAATATGATCACCCCAAAGACCCCCGCAGATAGCCCCCATGACTCCCAGAGCGCAAAGCATTCCCCTCCCCCTCGGGCCTGTAGTTTGTGCCAGATCGGCCCCAGCCCAGCCCGCTCCCGCCCGCGAGCCCCGGCCTCTGGCCAGCTTCTCACCGCAATCGTAGCCGGCGAAGCCTAATCCTACGGCTGGCGGGAGCCAGGTGCAAGCCAGTGCGCCTGCGCGCGCTTCTAGGGCTTCCCCAGCCTCTCCCTCCGCCCCTGCCCAGCGATTGGCTCCGCGCGGCCCCGGGACCGCAGCTCCGGCAGGTGACCGCACCTGAAGCTGCCGCCGCCATGTTTGTCACGGGCCTTTGCCCTTAGCGATCAAAAGGAGATACTAGCAAATACGGTCAGGTTGCCTGGATTCTTGACCGGCTCAACCCCTCTCCTTTACCTCCACGATAGCTTAATGTAATTTCAGTGCAAACCAACACGTTTTTTTCTAAGCGCTCACCTTCCTTCCCTCCTTGCCTAGTACTTGTTGGGAGAACAAAGAGAGTTCAGCATCTCCATGGAGTCTGGTGGTCTGAGCGGATGCACAGCTGCAGCCGACTTGGAGGTGGCAGCTCCTTCATGAGCCCTTCAAGGGTGGAAAGGTCCAGGTTGAGCTGTGGGCACCAGGGCTCTAGCCACAGGAGCCAGACCTGAAGGTGGGGAACAGCACCAGGGCCTGAATGAGCAACCACGCAGCCCAACCTCCTTGTATTAATAATGGTAATATAACATAAAAAGTACTGAGTGCTTGCTATGTGCCCTGTACTACATTCAGAACAACACGTGCATTCTCTTGTTGAGTCCTCACATCATTCCCAGGAGGTAGGCGCTTTTATCCCCATTTTATACGTGAGGAAACTGCGGTTCAGAGAGATTCAATGACATGCAAACAGCAAGGGCCCAGTCGAGGTGGAACCCAGCTATCCTGACTCCACATGGGAGTCTTTCCTCTTCCCACACCTGCACAATTCCTCAAAATCAAGTTTTGTTTTGCTCAATGTAGGCTGTGGAGGATGTTTTATGTCTTCTCCCAACTGGCCTGTAAGCCTGGATAGGTTTTTGGGCAAACAAACAGCACACATTCCAGCTCTGCCTGGTTCCCCTACCTTGGGACACAGGGCAAAGAGCCTATGGCCTTTGGCTTCTGGGGGACCTGGAACTCATCCCCTAGCTCCACCACTTCCTTGCTAAGGGACTCCTTTATTATTATTATTATTATTATTATTATTATTATTATTTGAAACAGGGTCTTGCTCTGTTGCTCAGGCTAGAGTGCAGTGGTGGCGTGATCTCAGCTCACTGCAACCTCCACCTCCCTGGCTCAGATGATCCTCTCACCTGAGCCTCCCAAGTTGCTGGGACCACCAGCTCACTCCACCATGCCTGGCTAATTTCTAAAATTATCTGTAGAGATGGAGTCTCACTATGTTACCCAGGGTGGTCTTGAATTCCTGGGCTCAAGGGACCCTCCCGCTTCAGCCTCCCAAAGTGCTGGAATGATAAGCGTGAGTCACTGCACCTGGCTGGGGCCCTCCTTTTGTGAGCCTGTTTTATGCTTTACAGGGATTTTTCAGGCATTAAATGAGAAACAAGGGTGTAGGAGCTTTGTGAACTGCTCATCCTTATGACCTTCATTGATGGCTGTCAGCTAACTCCCTGCAACAGGAATATTGTCCTCCTCCTCCTAACAACCACAGCAAATGGTCCAATGTAGTGTCCAGGGGCTAGAGCCTGGACAAATGGTCTAGTGTCCAGGGGCTAGAGCCTATTCAACCAGTTCCTGGGGAGCCCCCAGTGACGCCATGAACCTTGCCCCCAGAATCCATTTCCCTCTAACCTGTCTCATTTCCCTCCTTCCCAATCTCTTTCAGATACCCTTCACACTTCCCATGTCACCCCAAGCCACACATAGACACACACACACACACACATACACCCATGTCTCTTCTAGACTTAGACAATTGCTGAAACCCCTCCTGATCCAGAAGGCCTCATAAGTAGAAGACAGGTGATCATTTTGCCCCTCTCCTCACCTCTTACCTCCATCTGTGCTTTCCTGGCTGTGAGAACAGAAAACCCAGCATTCAGCCTGGAGTCCAGCACACTGGGATCTCCATACATTTGCTAAAGGAGTCTCCCCGCCTTTCTAACTTTGGCTACCACGTGCCTTTATTTCAAAGCAAACCCGAGTCTTTACTTAGCCCTCCCTGGGTGTCCAGTGGGGAAATGGAAATGGAGAGGGCTGGCAGGGGCCAGGGCTGAATGTGACCCAGGAGAAAAGACCTTTGGTCCCTCACGGCCGGGCGCAGTGGCTCACGCCTGTAATCCTAGCACTTTGGGAGGCTGAGGTGGTCGGATCACGAAGTCAGGAGATAGAGACCATCCTGGCCAACATAGTGAAACCGTGTCTCAACTAAAATACAAAAATTAGCTGGGCGTGGTGGCGTGTGCCTGTAATCCCAGCTACTTGGGAGGCTGAGGGAGGAGAACTGTTTGAACCAGGGAATCGGAATGTGCAGTGAGCCGAGATCGCTCACTCCAAATCAATCACTGCACTCCAGCCTAGCAACAGAGTGAGACTCTGGCTCAAAAAAAAAAAAAAAAAAAAAAGAAAGAAAAGACCTTTGGTCCCTCATGTTGCACTTAATGCCACACAGTTACACTCTGAGGCCCCTCAACCCTCTGATTATAAAGACAACATAGCCAGTTACCTTTTATGTCAGCACCAGGACAGGGCCTTGTAATTCTCTCTGATTTCTCTTTATGGTTGCCAATCACAGAGCTAACTAGGAGGAGGGGACATGCGATGAACTAGAGGCCATATCACCTCCCTAACTCCTTGAGCCATACTGGAGTCCCCGGACCATGGGACAGATAGATTATGCACTGTCTTTGAAATTCTCTCCTCCCTTCACTTCCCACCTTTCTGATCTAGTTTCTGCCATGTTCTCTTCCTACATAATAATTCCTCTTCAGTCCCCTTCACTGTGGCACTTTCTCCCAGGACCTCTAAAGGAAAAGGGAGGGTGTCCCAAGTTTCCATCTTTTATACTCATATATTCACTCAAACTTTTAATCCATGCAAGGCCACAGGCTGTGAGGTAAAGGGGACTTCAAAAACAAGATTGCTGGCTGGGCGGGGTGGCTCATGCCTGTAATCCCAGAACTTTGGGAGGTCAAGGTGGGCGGATCACCTGAGGTCAGGAGTTCAAAACTAGCCTGGCCAATGTGGTGAAACCCCGTCTCTACTAAAAAATACAAAAAAAAATTAGCCTGGCGCGGTGGTGGGTGCCTGCTATCCCAGCTACTCGGGAGGCTGAGGCAGGAGAATCGCTTGAACCCGGGAGGCAGAGGTTGCAGTGAGCTGAGATCGCGCCACTGCACTCCAGCCTGTCGACACAGCAAGACTCTGTCTCAAAAAATAAAAAATAAAAAAACAAGATAGCTACCTGAAAGAGGTGTTGAGTGGGGTCCAAATAAGCTGGCAGCCACAATGTCAATAGTGTGATAGGGACCAGATGGAGACAAGCCCAGGGTGGCAGTTGTTACGGTAATTTCACCTACTACCTTTTTCTTCATGACTACTTCCACACCTCCCATGTCCAGCCTGAACAGAATGTCCAGCATGGCCCACTCGAATTCACCATTCCTTAAACTTCCAATCTCCCTCCAGCGTTTTCTACCTCCAGGACTGCCTTAACTGCCCATCCAGGTGGCCAAGCCAGAAACATGTGCATCCACCCTCCATCCTACGCGCTTCATCAAAACAACCATCTTGGATCAAGCCCAGGTGAATCCTACTCGCATCTCTCTTTTCCATCCCTTGCTCCTGTTTGGTTCTCAGCTTTCCTAAGCTAACATAAGAACCTCCTCCATGACTGGCTTCTACCCCCTCGCTCTCTAATCTGTCCTCCATTTTGCCCTCAAGTGAGCTTCTGATCACAAGGTTCCCTGAGCAAAAGCTTCTCAGGTTGCTATATACTGAAATTTTTCATGGCCAGATGCAGTGGCTCACACCTGTAATCCCAGCACCTTGGGAGTCTGAGGCAGGAGGATTGCTTGAGCCCAGGAGTTGGAGACCAGCCTGAGCAACAGAGTGAGACTCCATCTCTACAGAAAATTTTTAAAAACAAAAAAAAACCGGCCAGGCACAGTGGCTCACAACTGTAATCCCAGCACTTTGGGATGCCAAGGCGGGCAGATCACAAGGTCAGGAGATCAAGACCATCCTGGCCAACATGGTGAAACCCCGTCTCTACTAAAATACAAAACATTAGCCAGGCATGGTGGTGCACGCCTGTAGTCCCAGCTACTCGGGAGGCTGAGGCAGGGGAATCGCTTGAACCCGGGGGGTTGCAGTGAGCCGAGATCGCGCCACTGCACTCCAGCTTGGTGACAGAGCAAGACTCCGTCTCAAAAATAAAAAATAAAAAAATAGGGCCGGGCGTGGTGGCTCAAGCCTGTAATCCCAGCACTTTGGGAGGCCGAGACGGGCAAATCACGAGGTCAGGAGATCGAGACCATTCTGGCTAACACGGTGAAACCCCGTCTCTACTAAAAATACAAGAAAATTAGCTGGGCGTGGTGGTGGGCACCTGTAGTCCCAGCTACTCAGGAGGCTGAGGCAGGAGAATGGCGTGAACCTGGAAGGCGGAGCTTGCAGTGAGCCGAGATCGCGCCACTGCACTCCAGCCTGGGGCACAGAGCACGACTCCGTCTAAAATAAATAAATAAATAAATAAAATAAATAAAATAATAAAAAAATCAAAAAATCGGCCCAGTGTGGTGAGGGAGGACCAGGCACAGTGACTCGCACCTGTAATCCCAGCACTTTGGGAGGCTGAGGTGGGTGGATCACCTGAGGTCAGGAGTTCAAGGCCAGCCTGGCCAACATGGTGAAACCCCATCTCTACTAAAAATACAAAAAACATTAGCTGGGTGTGGTGGCGGATGCCTGTAATTTACCCCGCTACTCAGGAGGCTGAGGTAGGAGAATTGCTTGAACCCAGGAGGCGGAAGTTGCAGTGAGCCCAGATCGCACCATTGCACTCCAGCCTGGGCAACAGAGCGAGACTCTACCTCAAATAATAATAATAAAACAAAATAAAAATTTAAAAAATCTGTGGAATGTGGTGAGGCATACCTGTAGTTCCAACTATTCAGGAGGCTGAGGTGGGAGGATTGCTTGAGCCCAGGAGGTTGAGGCTGCAGTATGCCATGACCACACCACTGCTCTCCAGCCTGGGTGACAGAGTGAGACTCTTGTCGCAAAAAAAATATTTTTTCATAACAAAGTGCTGGGGAGCAATGGGGGTAGGAAATACCCTGGGGTGTATCATTAGTGCAAGCAACAGACAATTTGAACTAGCTTAAATAAAGAAGGAATTTACTGGCCTGTGTAACTTAAGTCCAGGACCCTTTCTGATTTCTGTCCTGGGAAAAGCAAAAAATTCCCTCCACCCAACAAGAAAATAAAGTCCTAGGCTTGCCTTGCACTGGCCCATATCATGTCAAGGGCTAGCCCAAGTCAATCACTATGGCCAGATGGATGGCTGTGCTGAAAGGTTTAGCCCTAAATCACCCAAACCTAAGGATAGAATAGACTCAACTCCACCAGAACTACTTTACTGAGAATAGATAAGGTGTGGGACTCCAAAATACTGGGGGTTGGTACTGGAATCAGGGTGAACAAATGCTGAGAAACTCACAGCTTGGCCATTATTTTTCTCATTTTGCCTGAAAACGTCCTTCCCAGGCTCCACTTGAGCTTAGTCTTGCTTGCGCCCCACTCTCCACCCAGAAGAGATGGAAAACCTGGCCAGTGCCATGGGCCCACTACTAAACTCCAGGCTGGGGTGTGGTCAGTCCATGGATAGCCGTGAACACTCCGGGGTGCTGGGATTTTAGGACAGAGACAAAGTTATAAACAGGAGCAGGGAGAGGTATTAGTTTCCTACTGATGCTGTAACAAATCACGACAAACTTGGTGGCTGAAAACAAGACAAGTTTATTTTCTTACGGTCCTGGAGGTCAGAAGTCTGAAATGGCTCACTGGCAAGGGCTTGGCAGGACCACATTCCTTCTGGAGGTTCCAGGGGAGAATCCACTTTCTTGTTTTTCAGCTTCCAGAGGCTGCCCGCATTCCCTGGCTCATGACCCTCTTCCGTATTCAAAGCCAGTGATGGCTGATCAAGTCTTTCACTCACTGTATCACTCTGACTCTGATTCTGCCACCTCACTATTCCACAGTTAAGGACCCTTTTGATTACATTGGGTCCACCCAGATAACCCAGGATCATCTCCTTATCTTAAGGTCAGCTCATTAGCAATCTTACTGCCATCTGCAATCTAAATTCTCCCTTGTCACGTAATATAACATATTCACAGGTTTCCAGGGTGACATTATGAACATCTTTGTGGGGGGATGTCTTTTAAATTCTCTCATTCTGGGACCAGTCCTTAGAGCAGATAGAGGGCGAGGCTCCTAAGGAGTGTTGTAATGGGGCCCTTGAGATTTCAGCACCCCAGCATTTTAATTTTTTTTCCTGAGCAATCAATACTTAAAATTTTGCCAGGCACTGTGGCTCACGCCTGTAATCCCAATACTGGGAGGCCGAGGCGGGTGGATCACCTGAGGTCAAGAGTTCGAGACCAGCATGGCCGACATGGTGAAACCCTGTCTCTAATAAAAATACAAAAATTAGCCGGGCGTGGTGGCGCGCGCCTGTAATCCCAGCTACTCGGGGGGGCTGAGGCAGGAGAATCGCTTGAACCCTGGAGACGGAGGTTGCAGTGAGCCGAGATCGCGCCACTGCCCTTCAGCCTGACAACAGAGCGAGACTCCATTTAAAAGAAAAAAAAAGGCCGGGCGCGGTGGCTCAAGCCTGTAATCCCAGCACTTTGGGAGGCCGAGACGGGCGGATCATGAGGTCAGGAGATCGAGACCATCCTGGCTAACACGGTGAAACCCCGTCTCTACTAAAAAATACAAAAATTTAGCCGGGTGAGGTGGCGGGCGCCTGTAGTCCCAGCTACTCAGGAGGCTGAGGCAGGAGAATGGCGTGAACCCGGGAGGCGGAGCTTGCAGTGAGCTGAGATCCAGCCACTGCACTCCAGCCTGGGTGACAGAGCGAGACTCCGTCTCAAAAAAAAAAAAGAAAAGAAAAGAAAAGAAAAAAAAAAGTAAAGTTTTTTGTATATATTTGTGGGGTACATATATTTTGATACAGGCACGCGATGTGAACTAATCACATAACGGAGAGTGGAGTGCCCCCCAGCATTTTTAGTGACTAAAAAAATGAGAATTCTGATCACAGGCCAGGCATGGTGGCTCAAGCCTGTAATTCCAGTACTTTGGAAGGCCAAGGCAGGATGATCACCTGAGCCCAGGAGTTCAAGACCAGCCTGCGTAACAGTGGGATTTCATCTCTACAAAAATTAGTCGAGTGTGGTGGTGCACACCTATGATCCCAGTTACTCAGGAGGCTGAGGTAGGAGGATCACTTGAGCCCAGTCAAGGTTGCGGTGAGCCCTGGTCATGCCACTGCACTCCAGCCTGGGTGACAGAATGAGAGCTTGTCAAAAAGAAGAAAAAAAAATTCTGATCAGGCCCATGCTTGCTTGCACATGCTAACCACTCACTTTTTGCCCAATATTCCTTGTTCCCACAATATAAACTGCTGATGTGCTGTTTCTTGGTCAAGCAGGAGGAGATAACTTCGGGGTCACGAAAAAAAATTGCAGGCCGGGCACAGTGGCTCACACTTGTAATCCCAGCACTTTGGGAGGCCGAGGCGGGTGAATCACCCAAGGTCTGGAGTTCAAGACCAGCTGACCAATATGGTGAAACCCTGTCTCTACTAAAAATACAAAAAATTAGCCGGCCATGGTGGTGCATGCCTGTAATCCCAGCTACTTGGGAGGCTGAGGTAAGAGAATGTCTTGAACCCGGGAAGCGGAAGTTGCAGTAAGCCGAAATCCCACCATTGCACTCCAGCCTGGGCAAAAAGAGCAAAACTCCGTCTCAAAAAAAAAAAAAAAAATTGCAGAAGGAATGAATGCCTTGAAGGACATTGTGACCAGTTGCTGATGCCCACAAGTCTGGTGGCTCAAGGGGTTATCTGAGACTGAAGAAACACAGACATTTACCCTGGGTTCCCTGAAATGCCACCTCCGTCACTCCTTAGTCGCATAAAAACTCCCTGCTGCTTTTTGAGACAGGAGCTCAGTCTGTCACCCAGGCTGGTGTGCAGTGGTGTGAACACAGCTCACTGCAGGCTTGATCTCCTGGGTTCAAGTGATCCTTCTGCCTCAGCGCCCCAAGTAACTGGAACTACAGGCACATGCCATTCCTGCTTTTTTTTTTTTTTTTTTTTGTAGAGCCAGGGTTTCACCATGTTGCCCAGGCTGATCTCAAACTCCTGAGCTCAAGCAATCTGCCTGCCTCATCCTCCAAAAGTGCTAGGATTACAGGTGTAAGCCACCCTGCTGCTTCTTTCTGTCAAGAGGGATTTGAGAGATTTGCTCTCCCGCCTTCTGACTGGCCAAATCAAATAAACCTTTCTCTGTCTCCCACTGCTTGGCCTTAGCTGTGCATCAGGTTCACCAGCCTGAATTTGGGGTTCTATGACAGTGTTAGAGTCCAAATGAAACCCTAACTGGGCCCCCTTTTTCCATCCACTGCCCAGCTCCAGCACCTGCTCTCAAAAGGACTGGCCCAAATTAAGACTCGGAGCAGTGGCTCAGTCACAAATAGTGTGACATCACCAGGGTGAGTCACCAAAGGGTGGCCACCACCAGAGGGTAGCTGAGTTTTGAGGGATACTGAGAACCCAGAAGAACCTTTCTGTCAGGGCTGCTGCTGATGCTGCTTCAGTCAACAGGAGATGGGGAAGGAAAGTGTGGCAACATGGCAGCCCTGCAGCTGGCAGAGGGTTTCAGTTTTAATCATTCATAACTACCACTCTCCCCACTGGAAAAGGAAGAGGTGCAGGGGTTGTGACCCACACCAGAAGGGACCGGAACTCAGACAGGGCTCACCCCATCTGGATGAAGCAATCTTCTTGGCTTCATTAAAATGGCTTCTGGGCTTTGACATCAGTTGGACTGGGTTCAAATGCCACTGTGGTACTTACAGGCTGTAGGAACCTGGGACAGTGGCCGAACTTCTCTGAGCCTCTGGTTCCTTATCTACTAAGAGAGAATGACATCACTATGCACTTCATATAGCTATTAAGAATTTAAAGTAGGCCGGGTGCAATAGCTCATGCCTGTAATCCCAAAACTTTGGGCGGCCAAGGTGGGCGGATCACGGAGTTGGGAGTTCAAGACCAGCCTGGCCAATATGGTGAAACCCCATCTCTACTAAAAAATACAAAACTTAGCCAGGTGTCGTGGTGCACACATGTAGTCCCAGCTACTTGGGAGGCTGAGGCAGAAGAATCGCTTGAACCTGGGAGGCGGAGTTTGCAGCGAGCCAAGATCGTGCCACTGCACTCCAGCCTGGGCGACAGAGCAAAATTCTGTCTCAAAAAAAAAAAAAAAAGAAAAAGAAAGAAAATAATTTAAAGTAGCCGGGAATGATGGCTCACACCCGTAATCCCAGCACTTTGGGAGGCCAAGGAGGGTGGATTACTTGAGGTCAGTTCAGGACCAGCCTGGCCAACATGGTGAAAACCTGACTCTACTAAAAATACAAAAATTAGCGGGGGGTGGTGGTGCACTTGTAATCCCAGCTACTTGGGATTGGGAGGCTAAGGTGGTAGAATCGCTTGAACCTGGTAGACAGTGGCTGCAGTGAGCTGAGATCACGCCACTGCACTCCAGCCTAGGCAACAGAGCAAGACCCCATCTAAAAAACAAACAAACAAACAAACAAAACCAAGTGCCTATCTAACATTCTAGAGTGGGAGGACTTTGAGGCAGTCTGCCAGAAGCCCCAGCATAGGTGGGCAATAAGACCAGCATTGTGAGCATGAGTCTTGAGACTCGGGGTTGAATTTTGGCCTTACTATAGCCAGCTGTGTGAGTTGGGATGAGTTATTTAACCTACATAAGCTCCACTCACTGAATACACTGGACACCAACTCTGAGGCAAGCAGCTTTTTTGCTATGGAAAGCAGAGATAATATCAGCACCCCCTTCCCCGAGTTGACATAACTTGCAGTTAGATGCTCCCAGACAACTTGATTCAGTGTCTGGTGTGCAGGAGTTTCACTCAAACGTGAGGGTAACCCAATCCACCTGCAGGTGCTAGGAGGTTGTAGAAAGCCATCAGTGATACTGTAGGGAGGGCATCCTTGACCTCAGGCCTCTGCCTCTAGGTTGGGGCCACTACGACCAGTACCAGTAAGGTTCACCCAGGTGTAGACAGACGCTGGTGGCTCCTGGCCAGCTCAAGGTGTTTGCTTTCGCCTGGTAACCAGGAGGAGTGGCTGAGGCAGGGCATGGAGCGGAGCAACTCAGCTACAAAGTGCGGAGAGGAGCCCCGCTCTGGATCCCGCTGGCTCCCCAAGGCTGAAGGAGACAAGTGAGTGGGGAGTCACTGGGAAGCGCATTCGGGCCGAGGGCTTGAAAAGGCTCCTTATTGTGTGCCGGGAGCGTGGGGCTCTGCCCGACCTTGGGACAAGAGGCGAGGTGGGGAGCTGAATGTCCGATTCGGGATGAGTTCCCCCAAACCCATGAACCGGCGTCCTGCGGAACCGGGCCACAGGGACAGGAGGCGGTTAAGTAGAAAATCTGTCCGCACACCCCTCCCTCTGCCGCAGGTCTGGATCCGGAGGAGCCCCCAGTAAGAACAGCAGCCGCCTGGGGGGCCGACTATGTACGCGTACAGCTGGCTGCCGCCCAGGCAGGGCGTCTGGCCGCCGCCGCGGCCGCTCACCTGCACCTACCTGGCCGCCCCTCTGCTACTGCCCCCAATCCAGGCCCACAGCTTCCGCAGCCGGCCAAGGAGCCTGCACGCGGGCGAGTGGGCGGCCCCTCGGGAATACCACCGTTTCTACTGCCCCGCCGCGCCACCCGAGGCCGCGCCGCCCTGGTGGGCCTGCCCTCCGGCCTACCCCGCGGCCCCGCGCCGGCCCTGCCCCGCCACCGGCATCTCAGGACTGTCGCTGCAGGCGCCCGCGCCAGCGGCCGAGAGCTGGGAACCGTGGCCTGAGAGCGGGAGCCTGCAAGCCGAGCTACGCTGGGGACGCGTGGAACGCGCGCAGGGTCAGCCCCTACAGCTTCCGGACTTCGTGCGCCGGGAGCTGCGGCGCGCCTACGGCACCTACCCCCGCGCCGACGTGCGCGTCACCCAGCGCCGCGGCCAGTTCCTGTTGCGGGCGACGCCGCGCGTGAGCGAGCGCGACCGCCGCGTGGAGTGGCGTGTGCGGCGCCGGCCCAACAGCGGCGACAGCGGCAACAGAGGCCCAGCCCAGGAAGCCGCGGAGCGCGGCCGCCCCAGGAAGAGCAAGGGCCTGAGCTGAAGGCGCTGCAAGGCCTTGCAACCGGCCCGCGTGCACGCGCGCGCGGCTCTTCCCTGTGTCTGCCTCCCCGGCCAGGCAGAAAGGAGCCCTCACCTGCGCGCGGGAGGCTGGCGCGCCGCTCACCTGTCTTTTTGGCCTTTCCCATGATTGCCTGCCCGCTTCCTGCACTTGTTTCTCTCGGCTTATTGCTGGACCGTGGGGGAAGGGCAAAGGCAGGACGGAATCAAGGACACCTCTGGGTGTTCTGTACCTCTTTCCCTCTTGCACCTTGGGAAGTGGAGGACGTGCGATGGAAGAAGGGCCTGGACCTCTCTTCTTCCTCCTCCCCACCTTCTCCTAAGGAGCCTGCGCTGCAGTAAGCCCCAACTTTCCCTTCCTCTTTTCCCTCTTATCAGAGTCAAAGCCCACCCTCCTTTCCTACCGCTCCCCTACCCCCGCCCTTCTTGCCAAGCCGAGGGCCGACGGTGATCCCCAGCTTAGTAGAAAAGTAAATAGGCCGGCTGCGGTGGCTCACGCCTGGAATCCCAGCACTGTGGAAGGCCGAGGTGGGCGGATCGCTTGAGCCCAGGAGTTGGAGACCAGCCTGGGCATTATGGCGAAACCCTGTCTCTGCAAAAAAATACAAAAATTAGCCGGGTGTGGTGGCACGCGCCTGTAGTCCCACCTACTCGGGAGGCGGAGATGGGAGGATTACCTGAGCCCGGGAGGCTGCGAGAAGCCGTGAACGCGCCACTGCACTCCAGCCTGGGTGACTGAAACCCTGTCTCAAAAAAAAAAAAAAAAAAAAAGTGAATAAATGAGCGAAGTCAAGTATACATTGCGAGATCATTGTTATGTTTTGGGGTGGTGTTTCTCCATCTGTTTATCTGTTTAATGGGAGTCTTACCGCCCACCCTGGGGTACAAGAAGGTAGGGTGGAGGGGCATGAAGTTGAACTGGACCTCTGGAGAAAGCATGTGCCTGATCGCTGGGCCCAACTCCCCTCTTCACCATCTGCCTCCAAGTGTGCACGCCAGCACCTTCTAACTCCGTAGTCCTTTGGCCCACCACCCACCGAGATGCTGAGGGCATAAGCTCTATTTTTGAAGTGTGGTAGGCATGACTAGGGAACGGATGTCTAAGACCTGGGTTTAGGGCTGGTTCTGACATTTTCCACCTGTGTAACTTAAGGCTCTCTCTCAGTTTCTTCATCAGTAAAAGAGGCGTAAAAGTAAGTAACCCAGCCTAATTGGAAGTTAAGATGAATGTCTCTTCTTGTCTCCCAATTCTTGCTAATAATCATTAATTCTTAATAGGCTGAGATTTGCATTATTCTAGGAGTTTGCTGGAGTGTTAGGCCACATAGCCAATTTTAACTAGGATCTAGCCAGATCTGAGGCCCAGCTGTAGAAATTTGGTCCCTTGTGGAATTTCTTTTACTGAACTTCCATTTGTAGCTGACCGATAGTTACCTGGGTATACACAGGTGAGTTATTGAAGCTGTAGGCCAGCTGATTGGGCACTGCTGTATTTATGAACTTCTTGGAGAAATTCTCTCAAACCTCAGCCCTTGGAAAAGGTGTTTCTCCTGATCAGTGATTTGCTTTTATCTTTTAAGCACTAAGGATCTCATTACTGCTCATACTTTTCTTTTGGTCCTGGTTTCCAGGGAGCTCAGAGTCAAATTTGCTTTGTGTCTTTTTTTTTTTTTTTTTTTTCTTTTTTTTGGAAACAGAGTCTCACTCTGTCGCCCAGGCTGCAGTGCAGTGGCATGATCACAGCTCACTGCAACCTCCACCTCCCGGTTCAAGCGATTCTCCTGCCTCAGCCTCCCAAGTAGCTGGGATTACAGGCGCGTGCCACCACGCCCAGCAAATTTTTTTGTATTTTTAGTATAGACAGGGTTTCACCATCTTGGCCAGGCTGGTCTTGAACTCCTGACCTTGTGATCTGCCTGCCTCGGCCTCCCAAAGTGCTGGGATTACAGGCGTGAGCCACCACGCCTGGCCAGTGTTTGTTTTAAACATAGTTTGCAATACAGAAATATGTGATATAGGAAGTTACAGTCTTTTCTGATTTCCCGCACCCCTTAATGATCATTGAGGTCCGATCTACTATTTTTCTACGCACAAAATGTATTTTATATGTGTTATATCTATTTTAGACAGAGTTTCACTCTTGTCACCCAGGCTGCTGGAGTGCAGTGGCGCGATCTCAGCTCACTGCAAGCTCCGCCTTCCGGGTTCACACCATTCTCCAGCCTCAGCCTCCCAAGTAGCTGGGACTACAGGCGCCCGCCACCACGCCCGGCTAATTTTGTTTTTGTATTTTTAGTAGAGACGGGTTTTCACCGTTGTTAGCCAGGATGGTCTCACTCTCCTGACCTCGTGATCTGCCCACCTTGGTCTCCCAAAGTGCTGGGATTACAGGTGTGAGCCACTGCGCCTGGCCTTTATTTTTATTTTTATTTTTATTTTATTTTATTTTTTGAGACAGAGTCTCGCTCCGTCACCCAGGCGGGAGTGCAGTGGGGCAATCTCAGTTCACTGCAACCTCCACCTCCCGGGTTCAAGCGATTCTCCTGCCACAGCCTCCCAAGTAGCTGAGATTATAGGTGTGTGCCACCATGCCCAGCTAATTTTTGTATTTTTAGTAGAGACAGGGTTTCACCATGTTGGCCAGGCTGGTCTCAAACTCCTGACCTCGTGATCTGCCCACCTCAGCCTCCCAAAGTGCTGGGATTACAGGCATGAGCCACTGCGCCTGGCCTTTATTTTTATTTTTATTTTATTTTATTTTATTTTTTGAGACAGAGTCTCGCTCCGTCACCCAGGCGGGAGTGCAGTGGGGCAATCTCAGTTCACTGCAACCTCCACCTCCCGGGTTCAAGCGATTCTCCTGCCACAGCCTCCCAAGTAGCTGAGATTATAGGTGTGTGCCACCATGCCCAGCTAATTTTTGTATTTTTAGTAGAGACAGGGTTTCACCATGTTGGCCAGGCTGGTCTCAAACTGCTGACCTCAGGTGATCCACCTGCCTCGGCCTCCCAAAGTGGTGGGATTACAGGTGTAAGCCATCATGCCTGTTCTATTTTTATTTTTTATTTAATAATTAAGTGTCAGAACTTACTTTAGAATAAGATAATCAGGGATGGCCTCTTTGAGGAGGTGACATTTAAACTGAGATCTAAAGAATGCAAAGTTAGCCATGCAGAGAAGGGTGAGAGTGAAGCCAGGCAGAAGGTATGGTGGGTGCAAAAGCCCTAAGGAGTGAAAGTTATAAAATATGTTCCAAATATTGATTCAGGTGATACTAAGTTGATTCAGGTTACTCATGGATTATAAAACTAACGAGTACAAATTTGAATAAAAACAGGATATTTAGTTTAGTTTCAAAATATGTTCCAATAAGATATTTATTAATTACAAAGCGAAAAAGAGTAAGCTAGTCGTATAATAGGGAAAACTGGTATATACCACCTTAACTAAGTTATCAAAGCTTAGGGTCCCCCAGTGTCTGTCCCCTATTTCTGTGTCTTGAACCCAAAGATCACAGAGTCCTTTTCACCCCTCTGTGACCCAACATGTTTTACCCTGAAGGCTTGAACCCACACTGGGGTCTTGAACATTTCCTGGCACTGATAAAAGTATCTAGGTTGTTGCCAAAACACTGAAAGAAACAAGCCCCAGCCCTGCGCCAAATGCCTTAAACACTCACATAAACTCTATCCCCTGACCACTTTGCTTGGATATACCTAGGGGGATCACCCCTTTTCTCTTGCTGTCTGTCGTGAGGATTGCTGTAGCACTCCATATGTAAAGTTCCCTAATAAATGCTTTGGACTGGCTGACCATGGCAGCTCCCATCTGTGATCCTAGCTCTTTGGGAGGCTGGGGTAGGAGGATGGCATGAGGTCAGTAGTTCAAGACCAGCCTGGGCAGCATAGCAAGACCAATCTCTACTTAAAAAAAAAAAAAAATTAGCTGGGCATGGGGGTGTGCCCCTGTAGTCCCAGCTACTTGGGAGACTGAGGTGGGAGGATTGCTTGAGCCCAAGAGATTGAGGTTGCAGTGAACTATGATTATGTCACTGCACTCCATCCTGGGCAACAGAGCGAGCAAGACCCTGTCTAAATAAATAAATAAATGCTTTGGACTGATCACCCTGGTGTTTATTTAATGCTAAGTGCTACTTTCTTTGGAATCCCAACTGGCCCCATCTGGAAAAGGTTTGGGGCACTCCCATGAGGAAACTCCCCTGCTAAGGCTTTTGGGGTGATTCCAACTGTGGGTTCAGCAGGATGAAACAAGTTGACATTATCATTAAAGGGGACAAGTCAACATCATAAGCTTTCTATGTTAAACAACACAACATCAGTTCAGCAGTAATGCAGTCATGAGGAAACCTCAGATAAACCTAAGCGAGATGATCCCACTTGTCTGTATTGTTCAAAAATGGCAATGTCATAAATGACTAGGAACACCAGCCCAGCGCAGTGGCTCAAACCTGTAATTTTATCACTTTAGGAGGCCTACATGGGTGGATCGCTTGAACCCCAGAGTTTGAGGACAGCCTAGGAAACATAGAAAAACCTCATCTCTACAAACAATACAAAAATTAGCCGGGCATGGTGGTGTGCACCTGTGGTCCCAACTACTTGTGAGGCTGAGGTGGGAGGATTGCTTGAGCCTGGCAGGTACAGGCAGCAGTGAGCTGTGATCATGCCACTGCACTCCAGCCTGAGTGACAAAGTGAGGCCCTGTCTCAAAAAAAAGACTATGTGAACTTCAGAAAATGTCTCAGATTCAAAGGAGGCTAAAAAGGCATGAAAACTAAATGCAATGCATAATCCTGGATTGGATCCTGAACCAAAATAAAATCTGTTACAAAGGACATTACTGGGACAAGTAGCAAGATTTGAATAAGAACTATAGATTATGCTCAGCCATGGGGATAAGATCATAACCAGTCCTTTCTTTTTCTTTCTTTCTTTCTTTCTCTTTTTTTTTTTTTTTTTTTTGATACCGAGTCTAGCTCTGTTGCCCAGGCTGGAGTGCAAGGGCGCAATCTTGGCTTACTGCAAGCTCTGCCTCCCGGGTTCACGCCATTCTCCTGTCAGCCTCCCAAGTAGCTAGGACCATGGGTGCCCGCCACCATGCCCGGCTAATTTTTTGTATTTTTAGTAGAGACAGGGTTTCACCGTGTTAGCCAGGATGGTCTCCATCTCCTGATCCCGTGATCCGCCCACCTCAGCCTCTTAAAGTGCTGATGCCCAGCCCTTTCTTATCTTTCATTGTAAAGATAATAGAGACCAAGCACTGTGGTGCTCGCATGTACTCCAGCTACTGTGAGGCTGAGGCAGGAGAACCCCTTGAGTCAAGGAGGCCAAGCCTGGGCAACATACCAAAACTCTATAAATCTCTCTAAATAAATAAATAATGTCAGTGACATAGTGACATACATATATAGTATTTTTTTTTTCTTGAGACGGAGTTTCGTTCTTGTTGCCTAGGCCAGTGTGCAATGGTGTGATCTCGGCTTACCGCAACCTCTGCCTCCCAGATTCAAACAATTCTCCTGCCTCAGCCTCCCGAGTAGCTGGGATTACAGGCATGCGCCACCACGC